ACAGATTTTATGACTCAAATGGCCCTAATAGATATCTACAGAACATTTCACCCAATCACAAGAAAATGTACTTTCTTCTTAGCATCTCATAGAACTTTCTCCAAACCTGAAATATACTTGGACACAAAGCAAATCTCAACAGATATAAGAACATTGAAGTAAAACTCTGAAATCTATCACACCCACTATGGATTAAAGCTGGATATCAAGAGTGACAGAAAAAAAAGCCCACAAACTCACAGAAACTGAACAAATTTGTTCTGATGAAAAATGGGTCAAGAAAGAACTTAAAGACTTTCAAGAATTCGATGAAAATGAATAAAAAACACTCAAATTTATGGTATATCATGAACGCTGTCTAAAAGGCAAAACTAAGTGACTACATTAAAATATGGAGAGATCTCATAGTAACAACGGCACATCTGAATACTTTAGAACAACAACAATCAAACCCCAAAAATGTAAATGGTAAGAAAGAAAGAACAGAATTCATGCCTGAAATCCATCAAATTGAAACAAACAAATGAAACAAAGACTTAGTTCTTGGATAAAAATCAGTAAATAGTATTTATTGGACAATAAATACTATTTATTATTTTACAATATATGGCCTTATTGAAATTAACTAAGAAGTGTAGATGGAAGATCCAAGTTGACAAAAATTAGAAATGAAAGGGTGAATATAACAATAGATACCGAGGAAATCCATAAGGGCATACTTTAAAAACCTACCCTCCACCAAATTAGAAAAACTAAAAGAAATGGATAAATTCCTCAATACATACCAGTTACAAAAGTTAAATCACAATCATATACGCAATTTAAACAGACTAATTAAATAAAAACAGTCATTAAAATATCCCAACCAATAAGCCCAGAGTCAGATGTTTAGCACAGAATTATATCAGACTTTCAAATAAGAGTCATTGCCAATATCCTTCAAATATTCCACAAGACAGAAACAGAAGGAACATTGCCCAACTCATTTTACATGGTCACAGTTACCCTGATACCCAAACCATATAGAGACCTAACAAAGAGAACTGCAGACCAAATTCCCTCATGAACATACATGCAAAAATGCTTACAAACTAAATCCAAGGACACATTAAAATGATCACTCACCATGATTGAGTAGGCTTCATTGCAGGGATTTAGGAATGGTTCAACATATGTAAACAAATATATATATATGATATAAATATAAACAAACCGAGAGACAAAAACCACATGATCATAATCATTAGATGCAAAAAAGGTTTTTGACAAAATCCAACACCGTTTCATGATAAAAGTCCTGGAGAGACAAGGGATACAGTTGTATACCATAAGACAACAAAGTCAGTTTATGGGAAGCCTATAACCAATATCAACTTAAATGGGGAGAAACTCAAAGTAATTGCATGCAAATAAGAAGAAAGCAAGGTTGTTCACTCTCTCCAAACCTATTCAATATAGTACTTGAAGTCTTAGCTAGGACAATAAAACAACCAAAGGAAATCAAAAGGATACAAATTGGAAAAGAATAAGTCAAGGTATCTTTACTTACAGATGATATGGTAGTATATATAAGTGACCCTAGCAGTTCCACTGGGAAACCCCTACAGCAGATAAACACCTTCAGTAAAGGAGTTAGATACAAAATCAACTCACAAAAATCAGTAGCCTTTCTATACACAAAGGACAAATGACCTGTGGAAGAAATCAGAGAGACAACACCTTTCACAATAGCTTCAAATAATATAAAATACCTTGGGATATCTCTAATCAGGCAAGTGAAAGAATTGTATGATAAAAACTTAATGTGACTGAAGAAATTAAAGAAAATATCAGAACATAGAAAGATCTCCCATTCTCATGGATAAGTATAATTAAAATAATAAAAACAGTCATCCTGCTAAAATCAATCTACAGATTCAATGCAATTCCCATTAAAATTCCAATACAATTCTTCACAGATCTTGAAAGGACAATTTTCATGTCCATAAGGAAATAAAAAGAAAAATCTAAGACAGCTAAAACAATTCTGAACAATAAAAGAACTGTAGGAGTTAGGAGTATCTCCAATTTCAAGCAGTACTTTTATAAAGCTATAGTAATAAAAATAGTAACAAAAAGAGAATATTGGCCCCCAAACAGACATGCTCATCAAGGGAATCAAACTGAGGACACAGAAATCCACCCACCTATGGACACCTGATTTTTAACAAATGGTGCTGGTCAAAATGGATACAAATAAATCTATACTTATCATTTTGTACAAAACTCAACTCCAAATGGACCAAAACCCTCAATATAAAACCATACACACTGAGCCTGACAGAAAGAAGGTGGAGAATGGCCTTGAAGTCATTGGTACATGTAGAGTTCTAAACATAAAACCATTAGCACAGGCGCTAAGATCAGGAATTTAAAAATGGGCATCACAAAACTGAAAAGCTTCTACACAGCAAAGCACACTATCACTTGAACTATACATCTGATAAAGCACTAATACACAAAACACAACGAACCCAAGAATCTAGACATCAAGAAAACAAATAGCCCAATTTAAAAATGGGGTACAGATCTAGATAGAGAGTTCTCAAAGAGGAAACTCAAAATGTCTGAGAAACACTCATGGAAATGTTCAACAACCTTGGCCATCAGATAAATATAAATCAACACTACTTTTAGATTCTAACTTATACCTGTCAGAATGGCTAATGTCAACAAAACAATAAAACAAGCCCACACTATGATCTCAAAGCATCCCTTTTCTTCTCTGGGAGTGGGGGTGGGATGGGCATTAGGATGGGGGCAGAGCAGCAGCATCCAAATATCAGAAGTTATGGAGGTATCTGCTAATGGTTGAGGAGGCTGAGGAGCTTCTCAAATGTTCTCTTGGACAGTTTAAAATAAGAACTAGATAAAAATGAGCTCCTAGAGGAGTCATCTGCCTTTCACCAAAGAAACAAGAGAAATTTAAGAACAACAAAATAATAGCAGACATCACTGTGGCAATAATTTTCAAAAGCCCCATTAGACAAAGTCTCCAACAAGGATAGCAAAGACATTACCATTGGTAACAGAGCACAACTTCTTTGTACATTGTAAACATTGGGTAGATTTCGTTTATAAGAGTAAAACCCTTTTTATATATTCAACTCAAAGATTCTATATGACATTAAAAATCAGGTGAGCAACACTGCCAAAAAGTGATGATATCTAAGCCTACATACAAATAATATACTACAAAAGCAGGTTAGCCCAATCCCGAGAGTAGCAATATATATATATGAATATATATTATATATATATATATCGGAAAGAGTGAAGTACTGCTGTTTCTACAGACGCAGGGTGTGGGCTCGCATCCACTCGTTTTCCTCCTACAAGTTCAACATCTTGTAATAATCACTAATAACAAGGCAGGGTCAGACAATAGAAGGAAAGGACAACATCTGTGAAAACTGAGTTTCAACTACCATTAACTTCTTTTTTTTTTTTTTTTTTGGTTTTTTTGAGACAGGGTTTCTCTGTGGCTTTGGAGGCTGTCCTGGAACTCCCTTGGTAGTCCAGGCTGGTCTCGAACTCACAGAGATCTGCCTGCCTCTGCCTCCCGAGTGCTGGGACTAAAGGTGTGCACCACCAACGCCCGGCCCTCAACCACCTTTAAAAAGTCTGAGGAGGGGAGGGAAATGGAGAGGGACCTGGAACTGACTTGTGAAGCAACCTTGTTTCTAATCTGAATTTAAACTAAAAAAAAAGTCTGACTAATAACTTTTCACAAAATGTAACTTCATTCAAACTGCACTTTGACCTCCATAACATAAATGGAAGAGCTCAGCTACAAAGTACAAAGTGACATAGGTCTCAACAAATTCATCTGACAGGGCAAGAGAAATGCACATACACTTCTAGTGTTCATCTGGAATTTTCATCTATAAAAAAACAGGTAGAAATATACACACATTATTTGCAAGAGGCATGATAATCTATGTCTACATATAATCCTCAACAGTTATACTACTATAGCTAAATCTCTACGTTTCAGAGTATTATCTGCCATGGGAAAGTGGATCCAGAGGTACTTCCTAAAGTTCAAGTAGTAGTATTTGATGTAGAAATGTCAAATAAAAATAATTCCAATTTCAAAGTCAACCACACATTCTGAAATCTTGTAACCTTTCTAAATGATTCCCGTTGGCTACTAACAGAATGAATTTAGAAACAGCTCTCCCATACCACCCAAAACAATTGAGAGGAAAAGGAAAGAAAGCCAGATAAAAATAGTTGAACATTTATTGTTAAGTTAAATGTGTTGAGATAATGATGAAAACTGAAAATACTGTATTCTTCTTTAGGCAAACATGGCTGATATTCCTCACACTGTCATGGAGAGAAGGGCTGGTTCCTGTTTCCCAGGTTTGTCAGGAAAAAACAACAGAAAAGAGAATTCAAATGAGAAAGAGCTTTGGCAATTCCATAATGGGTAGCAGAGGAAAACGAGAAAGGGCCCATTTACAGCACATTTAGACAAATTTAGAAGTAGAGAAAATTATTACAAAGGATAACAAAGTAATTGGATAGGAATATAAGATTCTTCACACTAATATGCACAAAGATACTAGAATAAATATGTAGATTCATTATTTTAATTACTTTTTATTATATTGTAGTAAACAGAAGGGGAAGTGAGGCCAGGGAACAAATGAGAAAAATCCTAAAATATAAATTAATACTTAGGTCTGAAAGATGATTGAGTTGGTAAATGTGTTTGCCGCTAAGTCTGATGACCTAAACTGGTGTCCTAGGATGTCCATGGTGTAAGGGAACAAGTGACATTCATAGATTGTCCTCTAGCCTCTCTACACACTTGCTGTTTGTGCATGTGAGCATGTACACACACACACACACACACACACACACACACGAGTATAATTTTTCTGTCATTGGGCCTCAGTTGGTAGGGGACAAGGGAATGTGAAAGGACAATTAGTAGATGTAAGCATACATACCTGGATGAGATAGTGGGAACACAAATTGAGAAGCTCCAACAGCTGTAGGTGACTGCCAGCTGCTAACACATCCTGGATCACTCCTGGCTCCAACAAAATCTGTTTGTGTTGTTTTAAAAAAGAGAAAGCAATCAGCTACATTGAAAATGGACATGGTGTTGCTTAGTGTACAAATGGTACAAATGCACCATACTGCATTTAAACTGCTACTCTACAGAACTTATTTGAACTAAAACCGTGGCCATGGAAGCCAGTCCCTGACTTGTTCCCTAACTATCAAAAGATGCCCCTCTCTCAAACACTCTCTCAAACAGAATTCTTTGATCTTTACATGAGCCAACAACTTTTCCTACATCCAAGACTTTGCTTAGTTCCTTCATTTTTGTAAGAAAATGTGAACATTTTCAAAGAACAAAGAACACAGTAGCCTCTTAACATTCATTTTGTAATGTGCTCATTAAATAAACAATAAATCAGTTCTAATTTTTCAGGATATTTCAGACTCTTCAGTTCATCACAGTTTACTGAGCAGGTGTTTTAGGACAGGGCACTTGCATCTCCTCTGGCTACAGGGAGTGGGCAGGTACTATGAGTGTGGGCGGGTATTGTGAGTGTGAGTATGGGTGTGTTTTATGAGGGTGGGTGGGTATTGTGGGTGTGAGTATGGGTGTGTTTTATGAGGGTGGGTGGGTATTGTGGGTGTGAGTATGGGTGTGTTTTATGAGGGTGGGCAGGTATTGTGAGTGTGAGTATGGGTGTGTTTTATGAGGGTGGGTGGGTATTGTGAGTGTGAGTATGGGTGTGTTTCATAAGAGTGGGCGGGTATTGTGAGTGTGAGTATGAGAGTGGGCAGGTATTGTGAGTGTGAGTATGGGTGTGTTTTATGAGGGTGGGCGGGTATTGTGAGTGTGAGTATGGGTGTGTTTCATGAGAGTGGGCGGGTATTGTGAGTGTGAATATGGGTGTGTTTTATGAGGGTGGGCGGGTATTGTGAGAGTGACCAGGTACTGTGAGAATTGGTGGGCATTATTACATATGTATTATTACACTTATAAGCCCAGCATAAACACAAACTTTTATCTTCATTTTTAAGTTTTGTTTCCTAGTGTTCTTTTTATTTAAAATATAACTATCATTTTCATGAAACAGCGAGCCTCTCAAACGGAAGGGAACAGCTCGAGTATCTGGAGACACCAATTATCTACTTTCTGGTTAAGCCCAACTATTTGACTGTGGCTACCAGCCCACTGAAAAAGGTCAAAGACACAGCATGATGAGAACTTTCACTCCAGCATGCGGCTGAGAGCTACAAAGAGGCCTTTAGTGCTGTTATCAGCTCAGTCATTCACAGTCTAGCCACTGGACAGCTATGTCTTCAAACCCACTGGCAATTCACGGCCATGTCTACATGGGAGCAGTTAGCAAAGGCGAGTGCACTCTGTCTCCAAATGAGGCCATCCATCTCTTTTCTCTGGATCACCATTTTCCTCCACTCCCCAAACCATTCTCATTCCCAGTCTCTATGCTTGGGCTGAAGACCTTTCTCTCCTCTCTGCTTACTCTGTAATCCTGTGGCTTTAATGCCATTTATATGCTTTTGGTGAATAAAGCCTGTCTGGGGGTCAGAGAATGGAGCTTGCCAATAGCTAACCATAGAGGTCTGGAGGTCAGTACAGACAGACAGGAAGTGAGATGGCTGGGCAGAGATAAGATCACTCGCTCTCTTGTCTACTGAGAAGCTTAGGAGGTAAGGTATGCTGTGGCTTGCTCCTTCTCTCTGATCTCTCAGCATATTCCTCTATATCTGACTCTGGCCTTTTATTATTTAGACCAATTAAGAACTCCTTTTACATATGCTGATGCCACACCAACATGTTTCTGTCTCCACACCCCAGTCCCTCATATACCACTATGAGAAATGAAGTCCTGAGTGAATGTGTATCGTTGACATTGGTAGGGCCATGCCAAAGACACCTTTATGTCTCATACCAATGGAAGAGACAAAGTCTTCCCAGGGGAGGCTCTGAGACATGGCAAAGCCTTCCTGGGGTCCAAGTACAATTGTTAATAAATGATTGACCGGTGTGTACAAAGACTACCAGCCAAAGCTTCCTGCTCTCAGATGATCCTGCCTCCTAGTTCCGCTGTATAAAAGAAACCTGCCTACTTGATTCATATTATCAACCAAGTCAGTTCTCTCTACCTGGGTCATCCTTCCTCGAGGTATATGCTTGGTTCTTTACATCCTATCTTCTAGTCTTCTGCCTAAACTGGGATTCTGGCCCCGTGACAAAGTTGATACCTTCCATTGGAGTGAGCACAGTCCTCTGTATCCCACCTTCCCAAGTGTCTATGTGTCTGTCTTTTCTTCATTCTCTTGCTTCCAAGTTAGGTCAATCCCTCAAGCTGGGTAGAGCCTGGCATCCAACTTCCTCCTCAGTATGGCCTCTTGGCTGTCTAGAGGGCTGCTCCAACCACAGCCATTCCACAGACTGGACTTTTCATCTTTCTACCACTCACCACCCACTCCTTTTATAATCCTGCCATCTCAGCAAATAATCTAACAGCTATTTAGAAAAATCCCAGAATCACTCTTCTTCTTTAAAAAATATGATTATTGTTTGATAATTTTATACACATATATAATGTGTCCGGGTCATACCCACCACCCAGTTCTCAATGCCACCACTTCCCCCTCCACACTCTTCCACCCCCATTCTCCAGACAAGACCCTTACCACTATCAAGTCATTTTCTTTTGTTCTCCTTGTTTTCTATGTGAACCATTGAGATTAACCAGAGCTGCCTGCACACATGGGTGTCAAGCGATGCACCAAAGCATGTATAACTCATCAGATGCTGTAACATTGAAATCTATAACTCTCCTCCCCAGAAGCTATCAGCTGCCAACAGCTCTCTGGGGAGGATCCTGGACCCATGAGCTCCTCTCTCATCCGTGAATTGAATATTGGCATTAGTCTGGTTTTGTTGTTGGTGGTTGGTTGGTTGGTTTTTGTATGCCCTGTGCAAGGAACCTAAGCTGCTGAGTTCATGTGGGGAGTGTCCATCTCTTACATTCTTTTTTCCCATTTTCCATGATGTTTACTGAACATGGAGAGACATGGATGCTCTAAGAGAGCTGAGTACTCATCAATCACTCACATTCTTATCACCGTGACCATCATGAGTCTGCATTAACTGTGTTTCCTTCGAAGAGATGCTGCTGTGACCCTGGTGGAGGGCAGCACGAGTCAGAACCACCCTGGAATCCTCTTGTTTTCCCCCTATCTCTCATCCCACCTACGAACACTCCTGTGGGCTCTGTCATCACAACAGCTCCAGAGGCTATACAGTCACGCTCACTACCTTCTATTATGTAAGCGTCACTGGTCAGAGCCTGCAGTTGAGCCCTGCTGCATTTGGTACCCAACGGCTCTGACATCTTTTTCCAATGAATTGGTGCTTGGGTAGCAATCAGTGGAGGCCAAATCCTTGTGCTCCACAGTATAGTGAACTTGACAACTTCCTGAAGAACTGACAGATAAAACTCTTTAAAATGAAGGGTCCTCAGGGACCTGGAACTGACTTGTGAAGCAACCTCGTTTCTTATCTAAATTTAAACTGGAAAATAAAATAAAAATAAAAAAATGAAGGGTCCTCAAACACGCACATTTATAGTAGACAGCTCTCTAGTTTTTCCTCTTTGCTGTGACAAGACACTGACCAAACCCAACTCCAGATCCTTCAGAAAAACGATAGTCATCACTATTCACTCTGGCATTCTGCCAGACTGAGTAGTGCTTGAGCTCAACCTACAGGAAGGGAGAGAAGTCCCCTGAAAGCTGAGGGCACCCTGTTATAGAGGGAGCTATTCTGTCTGACTGGACACATCTCTAGCATTCAGAATTCTAGAGGAATTTAGCTCACATGAAGACATGGAGATGTGCACAAGACAAAGGGATAAAGAAAATGCAAGACATATATGATCAAGTGTGTGCTCTGGAATCCTGAGTCAAAGGGAAACAGTTCTCAAAGAAGCCAACATGGACTGTAGACCTCACTGGTTCACGATGCAAAAGAGCTGAGGCATCTCTCAATTTGTAAAAAGGTTTTGAAGCCATCAAGGGTGTGTATAGGTAGGACCAAGTACTTCTTTTTGGAGACAAAACTATGGGGCATTCTATTCCCCATGAGCCACCCACACCAGACCTCAAGGTAAGATGTAAGGAAGTTGTGCTTGCATGTGAGGAGCTAGGCAGCGCTATCTGGTGTGAAGGACAATCCTATAATTCAAGTTCAAGGAGGTGAACAAAGATGCTCTTACCCCTCATCCCAAATGCGGAAACTGCTCTCTCTCATTCTTGCTAACTAAATAAGTAACCAATGGCTGTGACCAGGGTAACAAGGATGCGGGAGTTGATGAAGGCCTGAGAAAATGTGACATGTTAATATGGGCATAGCCGTGTCAAGGATACCAGTGCCTCAGCCCCATGGGAGTGGCTAGGCCCTTCACAGTGAGGCTCAGGGGGATGGCAGAGCCTTCCTATAGTCCGAGTGGGAATTTTGGCAATGTGTGCAATAAACAAGAGACAGTAGCTTCTTCCTCCTGGATGATGCCAACTGGATTTCTGGCCTCCAGAGACTTATTACCAAGACTAGCTGGTGTATTGTGCATGGAAAAGTGCTGAAGTTCCCGACTTCTGCTGCACAGCAGGTTTGCTCCATTGGAGCAAGTGCATCCCGTCTGACCCCAGCTTTTCTGTAGGCGTGTCTGCTCTTTCTTCATTCCTTCCTCACCCCAGTGGGGTTTCCAGGACATAGCCTCACAGGCTGTGGTGCTGTACTGATGGTGTGACAAAATACTAGCATTTAAGTCTACAAGCTCAGGAGAAGGTGACAGATTCCTGAAACATTCTGACATAGGAATCCAGCCATAAAATTGTACAACTGCCTTCCTGGCAGGAGGGATTCTGGGATGTTTTGTCCAGCTATCTCATCTGGTTGGTAACATGAGCGTCATTGGTTATTCGGGGCTGATTATCACCACTTCTGAGGGATGCCTCCTAAACTGAGAGAAGGCTTGTGTGCCTGTTCTTGTGG